TTGAAGCATTGAAAAATTTAGAGCTAGATACGGATCTAAAAATAATTTGTTCAATTCAAAATATAGTTACGTAAGAAACTCAAGCATGATGAGTAAAAATTTTAATATTTTAGCAACCATAGCTTGAGCGTCCTACACACAAATTTCGATAATCCAATAAAATTATTTTCAAATCAACATTTCGATAAATTTTTAGATACTTGAGCAAAAAATCGTTCTTCCCGTATATATTAGAAGAAACGTTGACTTAAAATTGATCAGTGTTTGTCAATAAAATGAAAATCGTAAGTTACGAGACAGCGAGATATTGATGTGCATATATATATTTTTCTTTCACGGAACAGCTGCAAGATAAGACGGTGCACAAACGCACTCTCTTTAGCTCCCACGGTGCACTCTTCACCGTCTATGATTTTCAAGACCTACTTCCTCCCTAATGATCCTCAAGAGAGGTTTCCTCTCACCTCCATTACTTGTTTACCTTGCAAATGATCGCGAGCAATAAGCTCTTCCCCGCGTTTCTCCCTTGTTGACTTGACAATCACCTTACATCTCTCTATCGCAGGTACTGTCGATCGACGGTATACCGGTGACACACATGACCCGGTTGGATTGCGTGAGAAGACTGAAGGAGTCGCAGCTGGTCATCAGGTTGATGGTGAGATGTCGCGGCGCTCTTAGACCGGAAGTGGTGAGCGCTGAGAGAAAAATCGAAAGGAGCAAAGTGCCTCCGGAATTGCCCGCAGCACCACCGCCTGTACCACCAAGAAAACTGAGACAGCCTCGAGGACCTGCGGACGGCGAGGCAAATCCTAGTCCCATCAAGAAATCGTTGGACAATTCGAAATCTCCGAATGGATTGCAGAATGGCTCGCAAAGTGGCGTGCAGAATGGCTCGTCAATTTCACAAATTGGATTACAGTGCGTAACCAAAGTGAACTCGTACGAGAGTTACGAGTCTTCGTCGAGGAACATCAACGGATCGAGTCCCGAGGAGAACCCGAAAGAATCGCCGAAGGACCGCTCGCCGGAATCCGTGAAAGCGAAGCAGGTAATCACGGTAAAGAGAAAAACGAAATAGATTAAAAATATTTTTAAATAAATCTCTCTTTTCAATTCGCTGTGACAATTCCAAATAAATGCTAGAAAAATGTGAAAGAAAAAAAATGTCTCTTATGTGCCCCGTAGGAACCACCGGAAGCGATGGTTTATCTGGATGCGCGATCACAATGTGGTTCCACGCACGGCAGCACATCCGATGATACCGGCAGTTCCATGTCCACCGTAGTGGACAGATTCTCGACGTCCGATCGCGTGTCGACCATATCCACGACGTCGACAGCGTCGACCGCAGGTTCCGAACAGCCAAGCGAATTCTCGGGCGTCGATCGAGACCTCGAACGTTCATCCGATCGGGATGTGCTGCTGTCGCGAGCGATCTGTCCACTCGAGCATCTCGAGCGGGATTTCTCGAATCCGCCAGATTACCTGCTCCGCCGTCTCGCCAATTCTGAAGCGGTGACGCACGTGGAATCGCGCGGTGAAGTCGAACGAATTACGGCGGTCGTCGCACCAAACACGGTGCTGATCGAGGAAACGATCACTCTCCAGCCGCCACTCAGCTTTCAGGACGCCCCGCTGAGTTACGGACACGAGGCCAGGCCGGATCTCTTCTACACGGCCGACCTGGCTGCCGACTCGACCACGCATTTCAGGCCAATTAAGGACGACGTGGAGCTCGTGGAGCGCGTCAACGGCAACCACGAGGAATTCCAAGAAGCGATCTCTGTTTCCGGCACGGGGAGAAGCAACGGCGACAGGTCGTCGCCACCGCCGTTGCCGGCTAGGAATCACGTTAACAGGATCTGCGTGAACCAGATGCAAACGAGCGAATCGGGAAACGAGGCGCGGCCACCGCGAATCTCCGTCGCAACGGTATCCGTTTCTTCTGAAAGAGAACTTTCAGAAGAAGCTCCTCTATTACCACCGAAACCATTACCGAGAAAAGATGTTAAAGCTAGGCGGAAGAGACCACCTCCGCCACCTCCACCTCCAATTATAACACCGCGGAGAGAAATTAAACCGTCGATCGAGTCTAATCGCATAAAAACGGGGAAAGAGAACAATAATCTCTCGCAGGTTAAGAACACAGAAGACGTTCGGCCAGGAGTATGCAGTTCGTCACCAAATAAAAATAATATCCTTGACGAAAAGAGTGAAAGAATCGAAAGTTCAGATGAAAATTTCGATAAAGAACCTGACATGGAGAACATTTGCCTTAATAACGAGAAGGATAAAGCTGCGAGTTCGGAAGAAAATGCACGAACGAATAAAGTCTTTGAGATTATCGAAATCAGAATGGCCAAAGGTTTGCAGTCTGATAAGAAGGAGGAAGATAAATCGAATAACACGACAGAAACTGCGAATTGCGAGCAAAATAAAGTAAAAAACGAAGCAATTGATAGAAACGAACAAGATCAATTGCAGCCTACGAATAATTCGAATAAAGTTTCACCAGAGCGTGAAAATTCGATCTTAGAATCAACTGACGAGCTCATTGACGAGTCGAACGATGAAAAAGAAAACTGTATAAACTCGAAAAGTTATCATCAAGAAGAAACTAGAACAAATAATCGGGATAATTCTAAGAAAGTATTTCCAACAAACAAAGAAGGTATTTTATCGATCGATAATTCTACAATGCGAGATAACGAAAATGAGGAAATCGCTTATCAATCGCTCGACGTGGTCAACGACGATATAAAGAATCCGGAAATAAATCAAATGTTAGAGAACGAAGAAATTACGGAAGAAGAAGACACCACTGACGAAAGCGACGACGGCGATTATTACTGGCAGAGTAATCTCGCAACGATTGGCGAAGAGGAAGAAACCTCCTTAGAATATATGAATGCGTAAGTTTGCAATTGTATTACATATATATATATATTCCAGTAGTAACACAAATATTTTTATTCAAAGACTACAGTTATGAAAGAGGTTCTGACTGATATAGAAAATTTAAGATGTTTGTTTTTGGAGAAACGTGATTTATGTACATTTACTTTCACCACGCTGCATCTCAATTATTATGTCAAAATTTAATATTATTAATTTATCGCGTTAATATACAAATAAACAGTAATATTATAGTACACATATTACATAAAATTAATTACAATTATTCCGTGTTTTTTATTTCGAATAAAATGGTTAGCAGTTAGCTGTGAAATAAACTGCTGAGAATTGTACTCAAAGAGTAAATTATTATAGAACTCACTGATGCAGCACCATGCAACGAATGAACTTTAAAAAGAAATTAATTCACTTTCTTTATGGATATGGGTTGCCTGCCGTGTACGGCACATGGAGAAAAGGTTAATTGATCGTTCTAAGAATAGAAAAGAAGGTTGTCGATTACTGAGAAACGAACAGTCGTTTGACTCGGCCGTCCCACGAGGTGAACGCCTCCATGCAAATGCTCGACATTTGCTTATTGCTTTGAAAAGCGATCTCTCCTTCTTTGCATGACGCTGCAATCACTTCTCGAACCGCGTTCGAACAGCGATTGCTTTTTATTAAATCTTTTAATAGGTTTTCCTAGCGTTGAAATAGGATATATAATTATTTTTTTTAAATACCCATACAAAATAATTTTGCTTTTACTTGTCGCAATCGCGACGAGATGAAAAAAAAAATAGCTATTCTCTTTTAAGCAGTTGGAAAAAAAAAACAATCCCTAACCTGTTGCAGCAACGCAGACACGAATGATTCCAGTGAGCTGACGGTGGAGCCGGAAGAATCGCCTTCTGCAATCGAGAAAGATGTGTTCGTTAAAAACGGTAAGTCAATTTATACGCTAATTAAACTTTAATTAAACCTCAAAATACGATTTGAGTCAATAAAGCTGCAATTTATCTAATTAACGGAAGAATGCGAGGCCAGCGCAGAACGATTAGAGATGCATTCGCTAATAGCAAGAGGCAACAAATCGGACGGTTGAGCCTATTAAAGCTAACTGCGTAAAAAAAAAAAGTTAGCACGTCATCAATCGGCGCAACCTTGAGTTGCTAATTAATTAATTGACTTTGCTTCCGATAGCGTCGCTCAACGTTCGCATTTTTCCGCGACCAACGGGTTACGATTATTCAATTCGCCAAACGCCGGGTATTATTGCGAAAAAGAAAATTACGAAAAAGTCTCTCGAGTGCCGGAGGACACCCGGTACACACGCCCACGCTACCGTGGCACGTCACCGTCGAGTTTTACAAAGGTTACGCATTAATCACCTTGCGTTACGCGCCCATACGGCTCTCTCGGGTTTCGCGCGGGCGCGAATGCGCCCGTTGAAAACGGAGGCAGGTCGCGAATCGAGACAAAGGCGTGTAGAGCGGCGCGCCTTCCTCGCAGGGAGAAATTCTTATTCACCAACATTGCGTTCTGTGATATTTTCGCACGAATGACTAGATGTTCGCGTTTCCTCTTCACTTGTATTATGCGCGAGATCTTAATCAAGACATCTCACTGATATTCTCTCCTTTTCTGCTTGTTGCTTCGGCGAGCCCCTTATAATTTATTTCTACTTAAACACCACACCGGGAAAGCTCTCCATTTTCTATAGAACGCGAATGCACTTCAATGAGATACCTGTTTGCGTAATACATGCTCTCCGAGAAAACTATTTAAAGAGAAATATGTTATCACGCACGTCTTTGCCGCCGCAAGTTGAAAAATGTCTATCTCGCCGAGGTGGATCAATGTTCGATCGAGAAAACGGTAATTTCGCCATAGAAATACCGGAAATCAAGTGCCAGTCGAGCGATGGTAATAATTCGCACGTGATATACTAACTCGATATGAGATATACTATCGAAAACATTCCACTAATCGCAATATATTAGGTTGTTCGGAAAGTAATTTCGTTTTTTCTTATGAAAATGAAAGACGATTTTCAATTAGACGCGTTTCAAATGATCATGAACGGTCGAATTTGATAAATTTAATTCAGCGATCTCACGAGTTGTTATTCGCCGGTTTGCATCAATTAATGCCTTTATTGTGTCTTCATCAGCTTCAACTGGCCTTCCAGAACGTGGTGCATCTTCAACATCAAAATTGCCGGATCGAAATTTTGCAAACCAGTTTTGGCACTGGCGTTCTGTCAATACATCTTCTCCATACACATCGGATAATTTTTTTCTTGCTTGAACAGCATTTTTACCTTTTCGATAGTAAAAAAGTAAAATATGCCGAAAATGCTGCTTTTCACTTTCCATATTTGATAGGGCACCAACCAAAAACTACTGCGTAGAATCAATCGAACTTTTTTCACAAGCAAGCCTTGCTATATCAGCTGTCAAAATATATAATGATTATGCGGCTTAAGTGTAAAGTTGGCTGTGAAAAAATACAATAAGTCCTCTGTTGAGAAAAAAACGAAATTACTTTCCGAACAACCTAATAGTATTTCTAGCTCACTTTGTGTGTCCCTTCTTTTTTTCAAGTTAATGAATACGCAGCTTCGTCGAGAAAAATTCCAAAGGAAAAAGGCAGTTTATATAATAGAAGCGATTACGAAGTTGGATAACAATAAGGAATAATAAGCGGTGGTATAGTAATTAATTTGCACAATACTTTTTTTCAAAGATACCACCGATCACTCACGCTGCACATACGTCGTAACGTTGGAAGCGATGTATAATTTTCCAACGACGATTCCTCGCTTCCCGCGCGATTTCGACATTGTCTTTGCCGCATCTTACTTCCTTTTCATTCATTCATTCATTTTTTTTTTTTGCTCGCAACGCGGACAGCGCGATCCATGAAGCGAGTCGTACGATAAGGAGTGTATCGGTGGATCTTCAGTCCCGAGACTCTACCGCGGCCGGACGCTTCGTGCAAAGCGGGAAATAAGGAAATTCCGTCGAAACACTCGTCTCTAATCGGCACGGTCGGCGTTCCTGCGCTCGGAACGTGGATTCCCGGCCGCCGGCCAGGTGGGTGTGAGAACGCAAAACCGTTAAGAATAATTCGAGAATCGCCTGGCAGCGAGCGGCGGCGATGCTCGCGCGGATTGCTAACGAACGAAGTTCGCCGAAGCTGCAGTACCCCGCGAAGTCCGTATTAAACTTGCGAAACTTTACGGTCAAGGCGCCTTCGGGTCGCCGGGTGCCGAGAACGTTTCAACCGGGCGTTTTTCCAACGAACCGACAGACGTACGTTCCCCGTCAACCCCGTTAAATGTAAAGTCGTAAAAAGTCTCACGGTATCCATTACACCCACCGTCGTTTCGAACCGCCGCGCGCGCGAAGGTACCCAGGTAAGGTACGTGAAAATACATTACGTCATTTTACATCGACTCGAGAGTCTTTTCTCTCACTCCGTTATACGTTGTACGTACACTGGAAGAACTTTGGAGGTATACAATACAACATTCTAAGTTGCCTGTTAGGAAACAAGTTGCTA